CCTATTACAATCACATAATTGGTGATCAGAGAAGCCTGAGTACCAAACATGACTTCCCAAACACATGACAGTTCATTCACTGCATGTTGAAGTTTCCCTAATTATCTCAATTTTACTTTAGACAATGAAAAAAAATTTTAAAAATCAAATAAACAAGAACAACAACAACAAACACTCCAACTTTATCCTATTCTACAAGATAAATTCTTCATCATGACTGAAAATTTTAGCTCTGGTATCAAAGTGTGGTACGTATGAAAAATAGGTCATGTAATCAGCTAAGAAAAGAAGGTGGGAGAAATTTTGAAGTTTACTTGAAGTTATACTCCTTTGATCATTAGAAAAGTCAGCAGGAATGTAAAGCACATAGTGAGTGCATAAAGAATCTTATTTGGAAGGAATTCTGTATGACAATTTTCCTCCAGGCTGTACTCAAATACCAATATAGTGTTCCTCCCTTTTACAGAGATCCAAAATAAAAGTCAGGCAGTTTTTCTTGAGCCAATGATAGGGGATGTATTAGAACCTCACTCAGGACAGAAACTAGCAGTTGCCAGAAAGAAAAGTCACTCTAGGGACAACTTCAGCACTCACACTCATTGCCCTCCAGTCAGAACCAACTCACAGCAGATCATCCTGTGTGCTTTCTCAGAAGCTGTAGAATGCATCGAGGAGATTCCTCATCTTCGTGGAGCAGCTGGTGCGCCAATTGTAGTGTCATTCTTTCTCTGCTCATGATTTATAATTTCTTTGCTGTTCCTTCCAAACATGGCTTTGATTTACCCTAAGTCTGTATCCAGGGGCCAGGGTTTCTGTCTCCATTCGTCGGCTAATTACTTCGGTGAGTAGTGTTACTCACCTTCGCACACTGAGGGCTGGGGGACAAACTCAGAGGTCATGCGAGACCCCATAGGCTGCCTTTGGGTCAGGTACTAGCCCCCAGTCAGTTTATTTGTTTTGACTCTTGGAGTGCTAGCAAACATGATTACCATGATACTATGGTTACCACGATAATAGGGACATTTCCTCTGAAATAGAACATCTTTGTGGAAGTTTCTATATGACAATCTACCTAAATGTACCTTTTAATGGTAATGAGAAAGAATCTAAAATGAGTTTGTATTGATTTAATGAAAATAGATAATTTGGGTTACCTTTAGGGCAAAACCAATATAAATGGAAGGAATGCTGAAGAAAATTTAATAAAAAGCCCAGAGAACTCTCTATGGCTGAATTGATCTTTAAGATTTATCTACCCACTGCAAACCACTTGCTATTATTTAGTTTGTTTCAGTCTTTAGATAGTTGTCATATTTGTCCAGAAGTTTAGTTATGATTTGGAAGTGTTAAGATGGACTATTTTTTATTCCCTCGACTGCATTTGATTAACGTTCTTACCCCTAGTGAATGAATATGTAAAGCGTGAAGGTCATCAATTATTTAATGAGCTCAGTTATGACAAGGATGGCAAATATTTGGCTCATGTGTTGCCATTCTTCCTTCCCACACTAGAGCTGCTATCAATATTTCATTGCTCCTCTTTCTCCTGCAGAGCCTGAATACATACCCAGAATAATTTCTTATAGAGCAAACTGGGAAGCCATTGCAAAATTATTACAATTGGTATGGGAAATAACAATCTACCTTTGATTTTGTATTTAGGACTTAGTTGTTTTTATGTGCCATTGAGTTGCCTGTGACGCATATTGATCCTTTATGTATCCAAATATCTATGTATCTATATATCTTTATATCCATATAGATATCTATATAAATGAATGCTGTCCTATCCTGAGCCAATATCACTCTCTGATACACCTGCCCTATAAACCTTCATACTATGTCAATCTATCTTATCCAGGCTCTTCTTCTTGTGTTGTCCTTCCACCCTTCCCAGGATGATGTGTTTCTCCAAGCACTGGTCTCTCCTAGCAACAGGCCTAAACTATGTCAGAAAGAGTTTCAAAATCCTTGCCTCCAAGGAGAGACTTAGTTTAACCCTCTCCAAAACAAAACTGTTTGTTCTCTTGGTGGTTCATAGTATGTTTAATACTCTTCTCAAGTACCAAAATTCAAAGTCGTCAATTCTTTTTCCATAATCCTTAGTCATTGCCCAGCTCTCGGATGCAAAGCAAATAATTGAGAGGATCATAGTCTGGATCAGAAGCATCTTAGTCTCCAGACTGACATTACTCATAAATTCCAGCTTTTCTTTGCTGCTTGACTGCAGATTTCCTTTCCTCTGATTTTTACCTCCTATTCTCTTTTCAACAACAACAACAACAACAACAATAATAATAATAATACTTCTTTATCCCTTTAAGAATCTCATTTCATTGGTGTAGCTCTTCTTTGCTAAGTGGAATTTCTGAGAAATACTATTCTTGTTTTTCTAGAAAAAGTTTCTATATTTTCATTGAACAATTAATGTGACTAATATATTTTAGGTAGCTCTGGGGGCTTAATAGTAAGAAGTTTTATGTGCCAGTGTAGTTCAAATCCACTAGCTATTCTTCAGAAGAAAAATGGGCACTCTCCTCCTGAGAAATTTACTGCTTCTAAAAACCCACTAGAAGGTCAGTTACGAGCTGACTGTAACTCAATAGAACATAGCAACCAACGATACGCTTTACTTAACTTTCCCCTATTTGTACCAACCCTGCTTGCTGAAACTGAAGAGGACCTGAAGCGCCTGCTGCAGAGCGTCAAGGACTGCAGCCTACAATATGGATTGAGGCTCAATGTCAAGAAGACAAAGATTCTCACCACTGGACCAATTGGCAGCATCAGGATGGATGGTGAAGAGATTGAGATTGTACACAGCTTTAGTTAGCTTGGCTCCATAGTCAACAGTCTTGGCACCAGCAGCCAGGAAATTAAAAGGCTCATTGCAATGGGAAAGTCTGCTGTTAGGGACCTCTCCAAAGTGCTGAAGAGCAATGGTGTCTCTCTGGAGACTAAGGTGCATCTGATACAGGCCATGGTCTTCGCAATCACTTGTTATGCATCAGAGAGTTGGACAATGACCAGGGGGGATAGAAGGAGAATTGATGCCTTTGAGCTGTGGTGCTGGAGAAGAGTATTGAGAATACCATGGACTGCTAGGAAAACAAACAGATTTGTCCTGGAAAGGGTTAAACCGGGTGGCTCCTTGGAGGCAAGGATTCTGAGGCTCCGTCTAACATACTTTGGACATGTTGTGAGGAGAGACCGGTCCTTAGAGAGGGACATCATGCTTGGGAGGGTGGAGGGATGGCGCAGGAGGGGAAGGCCCTCTATGAGGTGGATTGATTCAGTGACTGGGATAATTGGGATGGGAGTGTCGGAGACAGTGCGATTGGCACAAGACAGAGCGGAGTTTAGGGCTGTTGTACATAGGGTCGCTATGAGTCGCAAGAGACATAAAGAAGCAACAACAACAACAACAACAACAACATTTGTACCAACAAGAAAATTTATTTTGTTTCTTTAACCTTTGCCTCATAATAAATTTGTTTACTAGAGTAGTATGCTCAAAATCAATTTCCTTATTAGATTGCTCAAAAATTATCATTAGATTTCATTTAATATGCACCAAACCCCAAATCTGTCACAATTTGTATCTGTTACCTAACCTTGTATTTTTGTACTTAGAGACTTTTAAGGGAGCTCTGGTGGCTTAGTGGTAAGGCGATGCCCTGCCAATCCAAAAGCAGGTGGTTTAAATCCACCAGCAGCTATTTGAGAGAAAGATAATATCTTGTGTGATTAATTGCTTCTGAAAACCCACTAGAGGTTCACTTTTGAGTGAATTTAAATTTGACAGTATATAACAATAGCTAAAGACTAAAAAATTCTAATTTTTGGATCATTCCAAACATATATACTAATAAGAAGTAGTAATGTTTGAACATATCTATAATAAAATCGTATCACATCCTAAATATATATTTGTTTTGCTTGTAATCTACTATTTTCAGGAGAGCTATAATCTAAATAGAATTGTACTTTTTCATTAGAAGTTTGGGATTAGATCACTATTGTGCAAACGTTATTTTACAGGACATGTTGTTGTGGTGTACAGTCAAGTTGAACCGACCCGTAGCTGACCCTCCAGAGTGTTTTCAGAGGTAGTTAATCACATGGGAGGAAATTGCCCATCCTTCTCCCGTGTAACAGGACATATGAAATCTATTTGCAAATAATTGAATACTTTTCTAGATTTGGCATTGTTGGGGTGCATTCCCAAGAGGGAAAGTACCTCAAAGTTCATGTTTGCTGATAGACCCCAAAACTGACCTGGACACTAACTAGAGTACTTTTCAATTTATTGGGACCAGGGATCTTAATGACCAGGGGCCAGATGCAGAGCTGATCATCTCCAGTGACAATGGGCCAGAAACATTGCTGCTCAAGATAGGGGAGCAGATAACCATTTTATATTCTGACACAACTTCCCCAATACATAGTAAAACCAAGAATAACACTGACTTATGGGAAAAGTTTAGCACTATACAAGCTTAGTTTAAGGGATAAAACCACCACCTGCTTGATAAGGAAGAACAGTCAGTTCTGGGGGAAGAAAACAAAACAAGTTTGATGAGGAAAGCAAGTCTAATAAGATAAGTCTAAAAAGACACGGGTATCTTAGCATAAGTGTAGTGATTTGGAGACATTAACAGAATATACCATACAGGCATGAAACGCATGCATGTGATAATACTTTTTTAGTATATTAGGTGCTCATACTTCCAAAATGGAAAATCTAACCAGAGAAAAAGAGCTTCCAATGTATGGCAGCGCATATATGGTACAAATAATGAGCACAGATAGTTGATTATAGGTCGAACTTAGTCCAAAACCATCTGATAAGATTTGTTTGAATTCATGTCTTTGGGTTCTGTCTAGCAGTGTTACAACTGAAATCAGAAAAATGAGGAGGAAAGAAACTTATGTGATGGCTTCCTATGTTCATGTTCTAAATGTGGCTTTTCTTCCATTTTTCTCTTTGGGGTTTCCAGTTTATCGTGGTTTCTGGGCAGTGCTGATGCTCCTGGGGGTGGTTGCTGTTGTGACTGCAAGCTTTCTGATCATCTGCGCCGCACCCTTTGCCAGTCATGTGCTTTATAAAGCTGGAGGAGGCTCATACATCGCTGCAGGTACGTAAGGTTTCCATTCACAGTTTTTAGTCATTTCTTTAGGTTTCTATTTCTAAGTTCAAGGTATTAGACTGTATGTCTTAGTAGGATTGTATATTGTGTTGTTGTGTGCCACTGAGTTGGAACTAACTCATAGCAAGAATTCTGAAGCTTGATCTGACATACTTTGGGCATATTGTAAGGGTCCTTGGAGAGGAATATCACACTGGGGAGCATTGAGGGACAGTGCAAGAGAGGAACAGCCTCGATGAGATGGATTGACTCAGTGACAGGGTTAACGGTAGTAGGTGTATCAGAGACAATAAGGTTAGGTGTATCAGCCACAATAAGATTGGCTCAGAATAAGAGGAAGTTTCAGAGCTTTTGTGCATAGGGTTGCAATGCAACTTGACAGCCCCTAACACCAAACACCACCACAAGAAGAACGAACAAATCTGTCTTAGAATCAGTAGAAGTAAAAATGCTCCTTGGAAGAAAGAATGGTGAGATTTTATTTGTCCCCCCCCCATATACTTACAGTGTTTTATTAGGAAGCCAGTCCTAGGAGAGGATATCAGCTTGATAAAGGAGAGTGCCAGTGTAAGAGGAAAGTCCTCAAACATATAGATTGATACAGTGGCTGTAACAATAGGCTCAAACAAAGCAATGATTGTAAGTACGGCACAGGACCAAATAGTGGTTTATTTTGTTGTACACAGAGCTTTTATGAGTTTGAATCCACTCAATGGCTCCTTGACCCCAAGGAGCACCCTGGTTACACCTTCTCCAGGGTGAAACTGTTTGTTCTTCTAGTAGTCCACGGTATATTCAATACTCTTCTGGAAAATCACAGCTGACAGACATCAATTCTCCTTCTATATTCAACATTCTTGGTTAAAATAATAATTCAAATGTGATAATACTTCCTGAATCTTCTTTATTCACTTTTCCAGCATGCATATATGGAAATTGAAAATATCATTACTTGAATCAGGAGCACCTTAGTCCTCAAAGTCAAATGTTCATTCTTGAACAGTTTTTCTTTTTCAAAAAAATCTTTTTTTGTTTTTATTATTCATTTATTGTTGCACATTTTCTTTCCTCTGCTCCCTTCCCTCTTCCCCCAGAACATTTTACAATGCCCCTCTGTTCCAAATTGTTATCATAAAATAACAAAGAACTGAATCCTGTTCTATCCTGCACCATCCTCATTCTTCCTGACATGCAGGAGCCCACTGCAGCAGTCACTGTGTCAATCCACCTGGTTGAAGGTCTTCCTCTCCTTCACTGATATTCCACCCTTCCCAGCATTATTTGCCTCTCAAGGGTATAACCCCTCCTAGCAACATTCCCAAAGTATGTGAGGTGAAGCCTCATCATTCTCGCCTCCAAAGAGCACTCTGGCTGTACCCTCTTCAACATATATCTGTTCTCTTAGCTGTCCATGGGATGGTCAGCGCTTTTCTCCAACACCACAGCTCAAAGGATTCAATTCTTTTTCTGTCATCCTTATTCATTGTCCAGCTCTCAGATGCATAGCAAGTAATCGGAAAGATCATGACCTGAATCAAATGCACCTTTGTCTTTTTGATACATTCTTTTGTTACAAAAACTGGTATTTAATTTCTTTTTTTAACTAGTCTAAATATTTCTGCAATGATCATTTAGTATAATGGAAAAGGAGTCGACTAAATCATGTGAATATTAAGCCTTTATCATTTATAGAAAGTGACTGCCATCCAAGCAGATATATGCACACCCATGTTTATTGCTGGTTTGTTCACTATAGCAAAGAGTTGGAAACAACTCAAGAACCCATCAACAAATGAATGGTATATTCACACAATGGAATACTATGCTGCATTGATAAACAGGAATTCATGAAATATTATACAAAATGGGTGACCCTGGAGGGCATTATGCTGAGTGAAATATCTTAGTCGCAAAAGGACAAATACTGCATAATGCCACTGTTATAAAACAGTACTGACATGGGGGGAGGAGAAACTAAGAAAAAAGGGGATAAATAATGAATAAAGCTGCTATGATCTTTGGTGCACAACTCTCTTTTTGTGCCTCATTCTCATTTTCTTGGGGTATATTTCAAGCTGTAGAATAGCTAGGTTTTTTGGAATTTCTATGTTCAGCTTTTTAGGAAATGCCAAACTGTCTTCCAGAGTAGTTGTATGATTTACAATCCCACCAACGATATATAAGAGTTCCTATCTCACTTCATCCTCTTCAACATTTAGTACTTACTGTCCTGTTAAACTTTTCCAGTGCTACTGGAGTGAGATGGTATATCATTGTGGTTTTGATTTGTATCTCTCTTATTGCTAGTGATTTTGAGTATTTCTTCATGTGTTTGTAGCCATTGAAATATCTTCCTTTGTGAAAAGTCTTTCCATGTCTTTTGCCCATTTTTGTAATTGTGTTATCAGTCTTTTTCTTGTGAATGCCCTGTAGGAGTGTGTAAACTTTGGGTATGTGACTCTTGTCTGAAGTGGTATTGCCATATTTTTTTTTCTAATCAGTAGGTTTTCTTTCCACTCTGTTGGAAAAAGTGTTTGTTGTATTGTTTTTAAATGAAATTTTTATTTTATACTGCTTTACTTATAAAATTTATAAAAAAGTTTTTGATGTACACAGAGATTTAATCTTTATAAGGTCCCATTCATCAATTTTATCTTCTCCAGATTGTGTATTTCTGGCTATATTTGCCGGTCTCTTTATACCCAAGACTAGGCTGTCTAAGGTTGATCTCAGTTTGTCTCTGATGATGTTTATGGGTTTGGACTTAACTCCCAGGTCTCTGATCCACCTTGAGTTGGTTTTTGTGGATGGTATGAGATGTGGCTTCTGTTTCAGCTTTCTGCAGGCAGCAGTCCAGTTTTGCCAGCACCATTTGTTAAAGGGATGGCCATTACACTGTTTGATAGGTTTTATTTCCTTGTCGAGTATCAGTTGACCAAAGATAGCTGGATCCATTTCTGGGTTCTCGATTCTGTTCCATTGATCTATGTGCCTGCCATTGGAATCAGTATCATGCTGCTTTGATTACTACCACCATGTAGTAGATTTTTTTTTTAAATTT